GAACATAGTGATAGTGACTGTAGATAAGCTGGTTGAATGGGTCATGTGAAGCAGATGAAATTTAGTGCAGAGACATGTGAAGTGATACAGTTTGACAAGTAGATTGAGGAGGTACAAAACAAAACAAAATAGTACAATTCTGAAGGGAGTGCAGGAACAGAGAGATCTAGGGATACAAATGCTAATCATCAAAGGTGGCAGGATAAGTTGGCAATGCAGTCAAAAATGCATATGAGCCCTGGATTTATAAACAGAGGCAGAGAACAGAAGTGCAAGGAAATAATGAGTTATATCTGGGCAGAGCAGGGATAGAGAAAGACACTTGGCAGAAGGGTCGAGAACCAGAGGGCACAGATATAAGATAATTGATAAAAGAACCAAAGGTGAAATCTATTTTTTTAACAGAGTGGGTATTTTGATCTGGAATACACTCTCTGAAAGGATTGTGAATGTGAACTAAATTATGGCTTTCAAAACATAATTAGACCAGCACCTTAAGAAATAAAATCTGCAAGTTATGGGCATAGGGAGGGAAGTAGGACTAGCTGAATTACTCTTACAGGGAATTGTGGTCTGGACAGGCTCATTGATCTGTGTGGCAATCATAACACAAGCCATCATTTTGAAAAAAAAAGCATAATTACCAACATATGATCATAAACTGTCATAAGTAACATATTTAGAGAGTCAAGACTGATGTTTGCTTATATTTCCCACAAAACAAGACTCAAGTTCTTTTATGTTCTATATTCTAAGTACTTTTATTCAGTTGTGCAATGTGGGTGTTGCTGGCTGGGTCAGCATTTATGGTCTGAGAGGGTGGTGAGCTGCCTTCTTGAACCACTGCAATCCATCTGCTGTAAGGAATCCACAATGCTTCTAGGGTGTGAATTCCAGGATTTTGACTCAGCAACACTGAGGGAATGGTGACATATTTCCAAGTCAGATGGTGAGTGACTTGGAGGGGAATTTGCAGGTAGTGCTGCTGCCACATATCTGCTGCCCTTGTCCTTCCAGATGGAAGCGGCCATGGGTTTGAAAAGTGCTGTCTAAAGAGCTCTGGTGAATTTCTGCAGTGCATCATGTACATGGTACACACCACTACTACCAAATTTTGATGGTGGAGGGAATGGAAGTTGCTCCAAACATTGGGCTGCTTTGTCCTGGGTAGTGTAAAGCTTCTTGAATGTTGTTGGAGCTGCACTCATCCAGGCTTTCTTGGCTTGTGTCTTATACATGATGGTCTAGCTTTCAGGAGTCAGGAGGTCAGCTACTCACCACAGTATTCCTAGCCTCTGACCTGCTCTTTAGCTACTGTATTTATACTACCAGTCCAGTTGAGTTTCTGCTCAATGGTAATCTCCAGAATGTCGACAGTTGGGAATTCAGTGATGGTAATGCTATTTAATGTCAAAGGGAGGTGGTTATCTTGACTCTCATTGGAGATGGTCATTGCTTGGTATTTGTTTGGCACAAATGTTACTTGCCACTTTTCTACCCAAACCTGAAAACTGTCCAGGGTCTTGTTGATTTTGAACACGGATTGCTTCAGTATTTGAGGAGTCGTGGATAGTGCTGAACATTGTGCAATCATCGGCAAAATCCTCATTTCTGACCTTATGATAGCAGGCATGTCATTGATGAAGTAGCTGAAGATGGTTGGGCCTGGGACACTACCCTGAGGAACTCCTACAGAGATGTCCTGGAGCTGAAATGACTGACCTCCAACAACCACAACCATCTTCCTTTGTGCCAGATTTGAATCCAAGCAGTGGAGAGATTTTTCCCTGATACCTATTGACTCCAGTTTTGCTAGGGCTCCTTGAATCCACATATGGTCAAATATGGCCTTGATATCAAGGACAGTCACACTCACTTCACCTCTGGTTTTTGTGTTAAAGGACATACTCTAACAATTTTCCACATTGTCAGGTAGATGTCAGTGTTGTAGCTGCACTGGAACAGCTTGGCTAGGGGTGCAAAAAGCTCTGGAGCACAACAGTGTTCAGTAGTATTATCAGAATGTTAGGACCCATAGCCTTTGCAGTATCCAGTGCCTCCAGCCATTTCTTGATAATACATGGTATGAATTAAATTGGCTGAATACTGGTATCTGTGTTGCTGTGGTCCTCTGGAGGAAGCAGAAATGGATCATCCAGTCGGTATTTTTGGCTGAAGATTGTTGCAATTGCTTCCTCCTTATCTTTTGCATTAATGTGCTGGGGTCCCCTATAATTGAAGATAGGAACATCTGTGAAGTCTCCTGTTCCGGTGAATTGTTTAATTGTCCACCACCATTCTCGACTTGATGAGGCACTTAGATCTGATCCATTGGTTGTGGGATTGCTTAGCTGTGTCTATCACTTGCTGCTTATGCTGTTTGGTACTCAAGTAGTCCTGTCTGGTAGCTTCATCAGGTTGGCACCTCATTTTTAGGTATGCACAATACTGTTCCTGGCGTACCCTCCTGCACTCTTCATTGAACCAGGAGTGATGGTAAAGTTAGAGTAGGGTATATACTAGGCCATGAGTTTACAAATTGCACTGGACTATGTTTTGGCTGCTGTTAACAGCCCAGAGCATCTCATGGATGCGCAATCTTGAGTATTCAAAGTTTGTCCCGTTTAGCACAATGATAGTGCTACACAACATGAAGTAAGATACTCTCAATGTCAAGGCAGAACTTCTGTTTCTACAAGACTGTGCAATGGTCACTCTTGCCGATACTGTTATGGACATTCTTTCTGTTATACCTATTTCTAAGACTCACCAATCATGATTAAGCTTATACATTTAGTTTACTTATTCCTGATTGCATCTTCCAAGCTTGATCTCCAGGATCAGTATCCGTTGCTTTTGAACCAATTTCTCAGGTGTTCACCAAGATAAATGGCTGGTTTTTATATTTGGGCACAATTTAAAAAAAAGTCATTATTTTACTGATGGGGTTCATTGCTATAACTAATTGTTCCTGCAAAGGTGGAAATGAATAATGTTTTCTCAACTGATTGTCTTCTTGGTCATTACAGAGAGTGTTTAAATAAAAAAAAATATAAAAGGCAAATACATTGCTCTAGGTCTAGATCAGTAAGCTTCATGTATGAGCACTTGGGAGAAAGCACATCCCATGAGTGAGACACCACCAGAATGAGTTTGTATATCTGGGAATGTGGAGCACAGTGGGAATTCAGTGCAGAGGGGTAGAGGTACTTTTTGCTTGTTACTGTTTTGGTTTAGAGTTTGGAAGGACTATATTCCATGGTAACGGGGACCAGGGACCAAGCCCTAGAGTAATTGAAGTCATTTTACATTAAAGATCTTCCAAAAGGTTTAATTTGCAGGAGTCAGTCATGGCAGGAGACTTTGAAGCTCTGTTGTGCTCTTTCTGCTCTATTCGAGAAGACAGGCAGAAATACAGGGCCAGCATGTGTGTAGGTGTAGCTCCTGGAAGCCCCAGGTTTTGGACATTGTGGAGCACCATCAAGATAGAGAGTAGCATTGACAGCACATACAGAGGGGTGGTCACAGGCAAGAAGGGAATAGGTGAACATCAGAGCAAGGGATGCAGATTACTCCACTGGCTATTGCCCTGTAAAACAGATATACCGCTTTGAATATTGATAGGGAAATAGCCCAAATATCTCAGAGGAAAGTAGCAACAGCCAAATTCATTGCACCACTGTTGTCTCTGCTGCACAAAGGAGAAAGAAACAAGTTGGGAATGCAAGAGTTCAAGGGTATTCAACTGTAAGGGGAATGGATAGGCTTTTCTGTGGCTGCAAATGAGATTCCTGGATGGTAAGTTACCTCACTGGTGCTAGGGTCGAGGATGTCAAGGTCGAGTAGACAAAGGACATTCCAGATGGAGAGAGGATGAATAGCCAGTCATTGTGGTAAAAATTGGTACCAACATAGAATTAAAAAAAAGGGTTCATGTCCTAATAGCAGAATGCAAGGAGTGAGGAAGTAAATTAAAAAGTAGGACTTCAGATGTGGTAATTTTAAGATTACTACTGTTCCACATGCTAGTCAAATTAGACTGGGGAGCATGGTGGCAATGTGGTTAGCACTGCTGCTTCACAGTACCAGTCTTGGGTGACTGTGTGGAGTTTGCAAATTCTTCCCATGTTTGTTTGGGTTTCTGCTGTGGGCTCCAGTTTCCTCCCACAGTCTAAAGATAATGTGGAAGTGCCAGTGTTGGACTGGGTTGGACAAGGTCAGATGTCACATGACACCAAGTTGTAGTCCAACACATTTATTTGAAATCACAAGCTTTTGGAGTGCTGCTCCTTCATCACTTTACCTGACGAAGGTGTTGTGTGAGTCCAAAGATGCGCAGGTTAGGTGAATATGGGGTTATGGGTAAAGGGTGGGATGCTCTTTGGAGGGTCAGTGCAGATTCGATGGATGCACTGAATGGCCTCTTTCCACATCGTAAGATTTTGTGATTCTATAAAATAGCAGGATATATTAGATGAATATGTGGCTGAAGAGATGGTGCAAGGGGTAGAATTTCAGAATCCTGGGTTATTGGGACCAGTAAAAACTGAATAGGTTACACTTAGGCAGGACTGAAACGGATGCCCTAGGGGCAGTATTTGCTAGAGTGGTTGGGGAAGCTTTAAACTGAAATGGCAGGGGGGATGGGAACCTTTGCAAGGAGTCAGGGGAAGGGGAATAAAGGACAAGAACAAATGACAAATAGGAGAATGTGATAGGCAGAGAAATCAATTTGCCTGAATAGCTTAGCAAGAAAAACTAAATGTTAGGGAGTGGAACCCATTAATTTGTATTATTTTGAGATAGTATTTGACATCGACATCTGACTCTCATCATATCAGTGCTGATATGAAGGTGGCCAACCAACTTTGAAGTGACTTTATGTAACATGGAAAATCAAAAGAAAAAAAGAATGTATTTGCCACTGAAATTTTTGTCAATATTTACTTCCCATTTCGCTTCTGACCAATGTATTAGAATACCAATGACAAAAATGCAAATATGATTCACTGTTTTACTTTAATATAAAATGTGTTGCACATGAAAATTCCAGAAGCATCTGTATAAAAAGTTATTAAAAAAAACCTCAACAGAACAGTGTTATACATATTTACCTAGTAATCTTTTTACACAACCCAAAACCTAAATTGCACCTGGTGACTTTATACATAATAAACATTCCCAAATGGAACAAAAATATCAGAAACAAAGTTTCATCTAATTACAAGCATTCACAGAAAAAAAAAATCACATTTTTCACTATGAATAATCATATGTACATAGCTATAAGCAGGTCTCATTTTAAGCTAACCTCTGCCAATCCAGGGACCTGAGAGACTTAACACAATATCTACACTGTTATTTTCTGTATATGTTTGGACTTGTTTATCCAACAATTTAAAAACAAATATAGCTGAATCATCAGGGTACAAAAGCACAAGCATTCAGCATTAAACAATTACGTGAAATGGGGTCATTTTCATTCAGAATCTGTGGTCAGCAAATAATTTTAAACATTCTAAGTTCTAGGTTTTGTTTTGTGATTACTGCACCTTTCAAGTGTAAGTGCAACATAATCAGAAATATCACTTAGAATAGTGGCATACTGGGAAATAATTTAACTTAAACACAGGAAGAACATAGTCCACTCTGTCCTATTGGGTCTGCTCAAAATATCTTCAAAAAGTCACTCAGTGGACCAATATGCATATCTGACAATCTGCACTTGGCAAAACGCACATCAGAGAACTTGATTAATTCACAAGGCTGACATTAAAGATAGAATAACATTTTCATAATTGACCAGACAGCTAGGTAGCGGTAAAGAGACACAGACAGGTAGTGGTAAAGAATTATGCTAAGAAACAAAAATATGAAAAGTATCGTTCTGATAAGAATTTGTTAGAAGCTCACAAGAGTTAATTTAAAAAAAAACTTTGTTTTGTACTGGCACCACACACCCCCAAACCTTTTTTTGCCTCAGCTGATATTTTTTCTTTTTTCAAAACAGCAGTTATTAGAGATAATATTCCGTTATATCTTGCAAGTGCTGCTCATTTGAATCTAGACACCAGAATTGGCAATGCACAAAAATATTTTTAACTAGATTCACTGAACATTGACCAGCAACAGGTGAAGGATATAGAAACTAACAGATTTTTCATTTGAAGAGCAATGAAACTTGGAACTGTCTTAGACTGTAAGAGCTCATACTGAACAAAGCAACACATTTTCCCACTGACAAGTAAGTACATCAGGAAGCCATGATGTTGGAGGTGCCAGTGTTAGACTGGGGTGGACAAAGTCAGAAGTCACATGACACCAGGTTATAGTCCAACAGATTTATTTGAAATGACAAGCTTTCAGTGCACTGCTCATTCATTAGGTCCTAATGAAGGAACCATGCTCCATAAGCTTGTGATTTCAAATAAACCTGTTGGACTATAACCCGATGTTGGGTGACTTTTATGTCAGGGAGGAGTGTGGGTGAAAGCCCTTTTTAATCAATTTGATCTAGCTTGGATTGGTTGTGAAAAGTGTTAAGGCCAAAATTAAAAAAAAAATGAATTTACTGCTGCATGCTGGCCAGCTGAACACAACCCAAAATCATTCTCAGGAAATTGACGGCAATAAAAACCGTTTTTTACCACTGAAAAAGCAAATAACATAAAGCAAATAACACTGTGTATTAATGTGGCAAACAAAGAGTAAGACAAACTGCATACAAAATGGTCAATTAGTTTAGGAGCATATGACTAAGGCAAAAAAGGAGAAAAGAAAATACTGCCAGAATGGTAACCAAAGTTTGAAATTATTTCCCAGTACGAAGACAAGCATATCAACTGCCTATTACTTAATGACTAATTTTGTTCTGTTAGACTACCTAAATTATTTTAGTATTGTAGTTATAGTGAAGACCAGGGAAGTGGGACACATTGGACAACTTCGTTCAAAGAATCATCATAGAGACAATGGGCTGAATGACTTCCTGTGTTGTAATTCTATGGCTGATTTAGATCCTAATGGGGATAGATATGATTTACAGTCACCCCAAAATAGGGGATTAGTGAAACTGAAAAAAGTGGGATAGTGTTTAGCTTCAGCACACTAGATCCAGCTGTACAACTGTTCTTTTTCAAAGATGGAAAATGAACAATGCAATTTGATATAGTACTGCCCTGCCCTATTCTGGCTAAGAATGACCTGTTATAATAATGTGTATTATTGTCATACTCAGCATTGTTTATGCTGCAAAATAAAACATTTGAGGAATAGATAAGATTTAAAAGACTGCAAATACTGGCTAACCAAAATAAAAACAGGAAATGGCAGAATTATACAGCAGGTCTTCAGCATCTGAAAAACTTTTTTTCTAATGTATAAGCATTTACAGTTTTTATTTCAGGAGTGTGATTCAATTAAGGTCTACTTTGAAATTCAGGCTTTCAGCTTTTCCTACTGGAGTTAAGAAGCATTTGACTTTCAACATTTAGCCATTTTAAACATTTTAAAACACAATGTGCCTGCGCACATCAGTCAAAGCAAGCTTTGAACTTCCTACAATTTAAAAGTTTATTGCGACAAATTGAAAATTTCAGAAATAAAAATGTTTAATTATAATTTGTGGTCAGACCTTTTCAATTTTAGGCACAAATTCAAAAGCAAATCTAAAGAAAAGTGGGATATAGAAAATTTAAAACAAAAAAGTCTGTCCTGGGGATATACGACACATTATACTGTAAATGTATCTTTATACACAGGTAAACGACAGCATCACAACTCCAGGATGCATCAAAACTTGCTTCCCATCTCTCTAATAAGGTACCCTTTTGGTGGAAGAAAAGGGGCTAGATTTAATATTAATGTCATATTCAGAGCATATTCAGATGTTGGTTTAATTATCAAATATTGTATGGTGTAATAGTTTATTACTTCCAAGTAAAAACTCAATTTTTGAACATTTGTTTCCCCAATAGAGATCGCTTCTGGTTGACAACTGCTTTCATTTCACAAACTTACTAGATACAACTATTACAGATTCTTCACTTCAGAGTTTAATCTTTCACAAAAAGTCTCAAGTTCTTTTATGCAGTTGCTTGCCTCAGGAGGGATTGGTTCAGTTACTGATGTCTTCCATACATGTAGGGTCTCCAGGGCTCCTTTAGGATTACTCGGAGCCAGGTCGTAAACTGCATAAACTGCTGATAACTGTACAGGCCATGGGACACCTGAAAATATAGTAATCAGAAACCATGATCACAAACTGCTCAATACAAAACATAGAAAACATATTGTCTGTTCAAAACATCAGAGACAGGACATATCTTCTTCTTTCCAGAATTAAGAAAGACCAGTGACTTTGAACAAGATCATTTTCCTGCATATCATGCTATGAAATCAAGTATTGTTAAATACTCATTAGATGCAGGCACAGGACATCCAGATACTCCATCAGCTCTACGAAAAGTTGGCTTCAGCACTGCTCAGTCCCACATTCTTTATTAAATCAAATTTACATTCTAGGTGGTGAAAAGATCTTCCTTAAATCACCCAGCTTTCTACTAACTAGGTTTGATAGTTTATGAATAAGAAAGGAAACTGAACATCAGAAACAGGAACAGGAGCAAGCTATCTAACTCTGTGGGCATGCTTTGCAATTCAAAAAGATCATGGCTTATCTGATTGCGGCCTTGAACTTGCCTGGCTCCATAACTCTCAATTCCCTTGAAGATCAAAAGTCTAAGCAACAAAGCCTTGAATGTTTGATCCAGCCTCAGCTGCTTTCTGGAGTACAGAATTACAGACTAATCATCCTGTGATAAAATAAGTTTCTCCACTTCATCTTAAAAATGCAGATCCCTTATTTTGAAACAATGCTGTATGGTTCTAGGTTCCCCCAAAGAAGAAAGTAAACTTTCAGCATCTATCCAATTGAACCTCCTTAGAATATTATGTTCTTCAATAAGATCTCCTCAATATTTCCAATCAACCTGACAAACCTTCCCTCAAAACAAACTCTTCATCTCAGGAATAAATCTAGTGATCCTGCTCTGAAATCTTTCCAATCGAAGTATTTCTCTCCTTAAATAATACACTCCTGTGGGTCATACCTTGAATAGGTGCAGCAGCAAGAAAACAGCCCCTGGAACAGGGTGAGCAGTGAGCCCCAGTAGTGAGTCCAAGGTGGAGACAATCCTAGAACTTACCTTAGAGCAGCTGAGTGCTGGTATGGAGTGGACTGGGGCTTGGAGTGGAGCAGGGACGGCTGTTGGACTGGCGTCTAGCGCGGGCAGTCTGACCGCGTGCGGCGGCCCTAAGCTGAACTGCTACAATATAATGTCCATTTGAAATTTCTTACCTTACTTTAATGTCAACCCTTTAATGATATCCTATTTTTAAACTTATTTTTCAACTCTGTAAAGTAATGTAACTACTTTTATTCCTCTGCTGAATCCAAGGACTGTACCTAGGTACTTGTACCTAAGATGTCACTATAAGGAGGCAGACATTGTAAAAACTTTTCACTGTACTCCTGCATTGGAGTACACGTGACAATAAAAGGATATTCTATATTCTAAACCTGCCCACTTTTATACTTCAGTTCTCTTGCAATAAAGGCTAACATTCCATTTGCTTTCCTAATTACTTGCTTTATCTACATGGTATCTTTTGATTCATGTGTGAGGGCACACAAATCTTTCTCTCCATTTAAATAATATGCTGTTTGTCTAATCTTTCCATCAAATTGGGCAAACACTAATTTTACTACATTTTATTACACCTGCCAATTCTACTGTCTAATTTTGTTGACCAATCTTCTTCCCTTTGCTGACTGTATATCCTCAAGACTTCTTGTCCTACTTATATTTGTATCATCAGCAAATTTGGCTAGATTGGAAAAACTAAGTTGCAGGAAAAGCTCAGCAGGTCTAGCAGCACCTGTGAAGGAGAAAACAGAGTTAACGTTTCAGGACCAGTGACCCTTCCTCAGAACTCCATTCTGAGGAAGGGTCACCGGACCTGAAACGTTAACTCTGTTTTCTCCTTCACAGGTGCTGCCAGAGATGCTGAGCTTTTCCTGCAACTTAGTTTTTGTTCCTGATTTACAGCACCCACAGTACTTTTGGTTTTTGTTTGGCTACAATACAGCTGGTTCTTCATTTAACAGTCCAGAGATGTGCAGGTTAGCTGAATTGGCCATGCTAAATTGCCCATAGCGTCCAGCGATATGCAGGCTAGGTGGATTAGCCATGGGAAATGCAGAGTTACACAGATAGGGTAGAGGGGCAGGTCTGGGTGAGATGCTCTTTGGAGGTTTGGTGTGGATTCGATGGGCCAAATGGCTTGCTTCTACACTGTAGGGATTCTATGATTACTTCCTTTCTCTCTGTTTGATTATATTATTATTTTCTAAATGGTGCAATGAACAGGTGTGACAAATCGATGAAGAACGTAACAATGAAATATGAATAACAACAATATGAACAATTCTGTTAATTAGAATGAATTTAAAATAACAACCCAAAACTACTTGGGTCTGTTGCACACGAAAACCTATTTATATACTTGCTGCCCAAAGTCATACGTGGAGAAATTTTAAATTCAAGTTCTGAGGTTGTCTAGTTAGTGACCAAGTTTTCTCAGCTTGGCGCTTAACTGTCAATTATCATCTAACTGATGCATTCTCCCTAACAACGCCCCTACCAATGAGTTCACTTTATAATCAGTCAGTAATCTTCTTCAATTTACATGGTAAAGCTTGTAAATTATCCAATTGAGTAAATGATGAAAATGCTTCAATTAAGTGCCTTTTCTCAGCTATCCTCAAATTTTGTACCACTAATCACCTAGTTGGATATTTATCTTTTATTGTTAGGCTGTTCAGTCTCTCTCTATCTCTCCGGATCTGGCAATGGGTTTGCCACTGATGTGTAAAATAAAGTTACCTGACAGCTACCCAAATTATGCTCCTTTCCTTCTGTTTATCAAGATTCTGACTAACTTTTCTACTTACTACATCTTCAGCCATTTGTTTTCATGAATGCAGTTTCAGCATGAGATCTCCTGAAAAGTCTAATTTTCCCTTCAGTTAAAGATTTTAGTCTTTCTTTCATTTTTCAGTCATTCTAGATTATGTTTTCTTATTTTCAGGATTGTAATTTCCCCTCAAAAGCTGATTTCATGACCGTTTATCTTCATTTTATTCTTTTTTCATGGTACATGGGCACCACTGGCAATTTTTACCAATTCCTAATAACCACTGAACTGAGTGGCGTGCTAAGCCATTGCTGTGGATTTTGAGTCACGTTCAAGCTGGACCAAATAAGGACGGCAGATTTCCTTCCCTAGAGGACACCAGTGAATCAAACTGATTGCTGAAAAAACCGATGTCAATTCTCATTGTCAAAATTAATGAAACTAACTTTATAATCCACATTTATGAACTGAACTACAATTTCAGCAGGTACCATTGAGAGATTAAGTCCATATCCCCAGAGAATTAGATTGGGCTTCCAGATTACTACTTAGTGATATTACTATGACCACAACATCCCTGCACACCTTCCAATGGCTTTTCCCTGGTTCATCTCCAGGCCCAGACTTAACCTGTTTATATGAAACTTGTTCAGTCGATCATCATCTCTCTTTACCCATCCTTGCCTTTTATTCCATCATGTGAAAGTTAATTCATCCGTCAGTTTCTATTACTGATCAATGGTCAAATCCAAGATTTTAACTTCACTTTTTTTCCTTTACTGACAGTTCAGGCTGACTAAGCTTCCCAGAATGTTCTGTTGTTAATTCAAATTGCTATCAGACTGAATGCTTTTCACTAGAAAGGAGAAAAATCTAGTTTAATCTGGAGTTTATGATGAATGCACACTTTCAAAGATAATACTCTCTCAGCCTAAATTGATAATTACAGCAGAAGACTGAAATTCAACTCACTGCCTTCTGACAAGGCAGAATGAAGAAATAACCCTTTAGAACGGAGACGGGAAGGAACTTCTTCAGCCAGAGGATGTTAATCTGGGGAACCCATCGCCAGAGGGCTGTGGAGGCCACAGTCATTGAGTGTATTTAAGACAGAGATAGATAGGTTCTTGATTGGTAAGGGGATTGAGGGCTATGGTTAGAAGGCAGGAGAATGGGATTAAGAAACATATCAGTCATGGTCGAATGGCACAGCAGACTCGATAGGCCGAACAGCCTAATTCTGCTCGCACAACTTATGCTCTTATGGACAGTGTCAATTCCAGAAAATACTGATTTCTTGGAGGAAGTCTTCACTGAAGAGGCTAATCTTGGGCAAACTGCATGGTATTTTGGATCCATAGCTCAAAATACAGAATCCAATGGGCCTCCAGCTGTAGGATTTGCAGGTGAGGGGGCTTGTACAGGTGCCCAGATGATCTTCCCATCAAATTTACACCCGCTTCTGACTTGCTCACTATTTTACAAAGTGTGGGCAAGTACATACAAAAATTAGGAGCACAAGTAGGCCACTCCAATGAAAACATGGCTGATTGGATTTCTCCACAGTCCTGCACCTCCCTCACCTCTGACCCACCCACCACCAACCCCAATAGCATTCAACCTCATGCTTGTAAAGAATCTATGTGCATCTTTAAAAATATTCAAAGACTCTGCTTCAATGCCTTTTATCAAATAGAGCTCCAAAAGCTCAGGTCTTTCTGGGGCGGAAAAGCTTTCTCAACTCTGTCTTCAAATCCCCAATTTTGAAACAATGACCACTAATTCTAGATTCTCCCACAACATGAAGCATCCTTTCTACATCCACATTGTCAACACCTAAAGATCTTATATGTTTCAATCAAGTCACCTCTTACTCTTGTAATCTCTAGTATGTCCAATGCTCAGTATGTCCAATGTTTCCTCACAAGACAACTCACCCATACCAGGAATGGTTTAGCAGACCTTCTCTGAACTGCTTCTAATGCATTCTTCCTTAAATAAAGGTGACCAATATTGCACATATTCTGCTTTTACTCAATATCCATAGTAAACTGGTGGGTACCTAACAGCATTTGTGGAGGGAGAAACAGAATTAACAGTGAATCCAAAATGACTCTCCTTCAGAACCTAGTGCCAAAAAATAAAGTTTCCAGAGTGAGAAGGGAGCTGGAGAAGAATTAAGGCATGGACTGAGAGGCCAACACAACCAAAGATGGTGTGACATCACTACTGTAGGGAAAGCAGCTGATGGCGAGAATGTTTGGTCACTATTTCTAATCTTCAAATATTGGGAATTTAGTTTGTGTTTAAATTTATATTTGGTTTTCACTCTCCTTGTTTGAGAAATAGTTCATTAAGTTTCATAGCAAGTTGATACAGAGTCTAAAGGGTAACAAATAGTTTTTAAAATTCAGGACAGTTGATCAGAAAGGCCAAGTGGAGTGCGTGAAGTCATGGACATACCATGTGTCCCAGACCAAACGTCTGCAGGAAGTGTTACTGTTGCACGACTTCAGCTCTAGCTTTCTGAACTTGAATAGCGGATAAAGTCACTGTTGTGGATCTGTGAGGCAGAGGACTACATGGATAGCACATATAAAGAGGTGGTTACACTGTAGATTAGAAGCATACTAGTTGAGAGGGAATGGATAACTACGATGCAATCTAAGAAAACTATTTAGGTAGTGCAGGAGTTCCTGAGTCTATCTTGCTTGCTAGTTGCTATTCTACTTTGAAAACGGTTTAGAACCACAGGTTCTCAAAGGAATGCAAACAAAGCCAAGCCTATGGCACCATGTGAGAGTCAGCAGTAAAGGAGAGGAAGAAGGAAAATGGAAGAACATTAGTTATACAAGACTGCATAGTCAGGAATCAAGCAGGCATTTCTATGGTACGAAATGCGATTCCAAGATGGTGCACTGTCCCCCTGGCGCCAGGATCAAGGATATTCTTCTGGGGGCTTTGAAGAGTGACATTAGCCAGAAGTTCTCATCCACACTGGTGCAAACATGGTAGGAAGAGGAATGAGGTCCTGAAATCGCATCTCAGGACGTTAGGAAGGAAATTAAAAACAGTACCTTAAATATCCCAGGATTACACCCAGTGCTGACCGTCAGGAATGCAAAAGAATACTTTGCAGCTCCAACAACGCTTAAGAAGCTTGACACCAGCCAGGACAAAGCAGCCCATTTGATTGGCAACACATCCACGAATATTCACTCTACCATGACATTCAGAAGCATTAGTGTGTACTACCTTCAATGTGCACTGCAGAGGTTCACCAAATGTCCTGACACAGCAACTTCCACTATGACCAGTACCATTTAGAAGGAAAAGGGCAACCAGATATATAGCAACACCACCTGCAAGATTCTTTCCATGCCATTCACCATCCTAAGTTGGAAACATAATCACTGTTCTTTCATTGTTGCTCATTAAAAATCCTTCACTTCCTCTCCTGATGGGGTTATGGTTTATGCAGTGGTTCAAGAAGGCAGCTCATCACACCCTCTCAAAGGTAACTAGCAACAGGCAACATATGCCGATCTAGCCAGTGACACACATGTCCCACAAGTGAAGTAATATGCTTGCCCCCTTTGATGAGTCTAGAAACGGTGGAAAAACCTAAAAATGAGGGTGATGGCACTTTGATCCAACATAAGGAAGAAGTATTTTACCAAATCTTTGAAATCCTCTATCACAGAGAGCTGTGGAAGCTCAGTCTTTGAGTATGTTTAAGGTAAAGAGTGACAGATTTCTGATTAACTGGAGCACATGGAGTTATGGGGATGGGCTCGGTAAAAGACATTGAAGTGTTAGATTGGCCATGATTGTATTGAATTGTGGGGCTGCCTCGATGGTCTAAATGGCTCAGTCCTGTTCTCATGTTTTCCTTTCATCAAACCATATTAATTTGGCTTGGTTGCCTTGAAAATTTTTTAAGTACCCAGATAAACATCCTTAGTAACAGTTTACAATGTCATAGGTAAGACAATAGAATCTAACTGGCCTGTTATTTTCTGCTCTCTGTCACCCTCCCTTTTATGAGCAGTTGTCTAGGACAGTTCTCCCACCAAGCCCCAACTGAAGTCCTCATGTAGCCAAACAGAGTAGCCAACTCTGAAGTTACTAATGAACATGATTGGCTGGCAGCTTCGGTGATGGTAGCCCTACTCATGCGAATGGTAAAAATCTCACTTCCAACCAGTGAACTGTTATTACATAGGTGGTAAGTACTGAGGGATAGTCCTGATCAGCGACAATGTGTTCCTCAACAATTTCTGACAGCTCAACTTTTCCAGTGGTGGGATAGGAAATATTCTGTGCTAAAGTCTTTTTTGATAAATAAAATGTGAAATTTTGTCTGCTTTTGCCATCAACCCAGAAAGAATATTGTGCAACAATTCAGCAAACAAGGTCAAATGATTAAAGTGAATTTAAATCTATGACTGATCATACTGATCACATTGAAAGCTTCACTTTTAAAAGCAAGTTTGTCTATTAACAATTTAGTAAACAGATCTCTGCACTAAATACAAAATGCGGTGGAATGGTGATAGCAATCCAGAACCCAAGGCTATTATTCTGGGACATGGATTTGAAGCCAAACCATGGCAGCTGGTGGAATTTGAATTCAATAAAATCTGGAAATATATCAAGCTAGTCCACTGGTGACCATGCAACCACTGTTGACTGTCATAAGTACCCAATCTTGTTCACTAATATTCTTCAGGGAAATAAATCTGTCATCTTTACACAGTCTGACCTGCAGCAACGTGGCCAACACTTCACTGCTCTCTGGTCAATTAAGGATGGGCAATAAATGCTGGCCTAGCCAGACACATGACAGAAGAAAGAAAAGTCTCAAAGTCACCTGAGTTAAGTGTTTTATGGGATTCATAATTTAAGCAAAACGTTCCTTGGACTGAAATATTCGTGTACACTTACCTTCTTGAAAAGCCTGTTGGAGAAACTGGTTCATCACTGCAGCCATGTTTCTCACAGCAACTAAAGATTCTTTCTTCAGTCCTTGCTGTCCCAGGTATCCTTATAATTAAATAAAACCCAGTTAAACATAAATATTTGTGAGCACAATTCTGTACTGTCTTACAGAATGCTTATAACATTAAAAAATTCAATGTTCAAAACCAAAACAGAATAATTGCTTATCTCAACCCCATTCGCCTGCCAAGAATCTCTTGAAAACATGGGTCCTATTTCTGACTTACAGAATGCGAACATTGCAATTCCCCTCAGCAAAGAGGATGTGCATCAGTTTGCACGCAGAACCAGCAGACACACGGAGTAACGGCTGGTCCACACCAATAGTGATGAAATGAATGAAACAGAGCAAAGCGTCAACACAGGGCCATCATTCACAATAATAACCCACCAGCGGCACAGCCTGCCAGCTCTAAATATACACTACGTACTTTGCTGTATTGCTGCAAGAACACGATAACAGAAGAACAATATAAAAGCACCAAAATAAAAGAAAATAGTCCACTCTTAGTTATTCATACTGAAATGGACAGAAATAAATGTCAACGATGACAGTTAACACTTTTTCTTTACTCACTGGAACCTTATGCAATAATCTACGAGGGGATTTTTTTGTTATCTAAAACATTCTTTAAATGGACCACAAATGCAGTTCTAATAGCAATAAAGTGGATAAAAATGTTCATTGCTATAAAGTGCAAGAAAATACTAAGAATGTTGGAAATGTGGACAAAAAAGTAAATGCTGGAAGTACTCAGGACAGGCAGCATCCTTGGAGAAAGAGTGTAAATTTCAGGTTATGATCTTTATCAGTAAAGAACAATACAGTTCATTAGCAAAAAGTTAGAGATTTAGCAGTTTATGTGCAAATGGAAAAACACGGAAAGAAAAGGGTGAGAGAAGGAAGTAACCTAAGGGGAGGCCTTTGATAAGAGTTGAAATCAGGAGAGGGTAACTTACAAGAAAGGTCGTAGTGCAAGGAAAAAAGGGTCATAATGGAGGATAAACAAAAAGGTCTGGAAGAAACTGTGAAGGCAATACCAGATTAATTGCTAATCACTTGCTTGACACAGCAATAATGACGCTAAACTCAATGCTGAGGTCGGAAGGTTATGACTTTACAATCACTTTTGTCCCACACCCCATTACAGAGGCCTTGCTTTTGTTCCTTTCTTTCTCTACATCTCCCACACTTCAACTGCCTCTAATCTGTTATATCACTAAGTTCATCCAGTTCCAATAAAATGTCATCTCTCTCAACATCCGTAACCTGATCCGTTTAGAGTTTCCAGTATTTCCACTGTTGGTTTAAGGGCAGCAGAACACAGCTACTAATTGCAGTCTTGTGGGTTTTTCCCAAATAAAAACCACAAGTATATTCCAGATTGTGTTAAAGAAAATGGAAACTTTAGGTTTAATAAAAATTATGAAAGTTCAAGTGCTCTTTTTACAGAAATAAATATTCAAAGCTTCTTGCTTATTATTCTCAATAGTGGAAGTTGTCAATGGAAGGTATATAAGACTATAGACATTGGAGTAGAATTAGGCCATTTGGCCCACTGAGTCTGCTCCTCCATTCAACCATGGATGATATTCCCATTCTCCTGCCTTCTTCCTATAACCCTTGAATCCCTTACCAATCAAGAGCCTCTATAAAAAACAAACCTGCAAGAGCTGCAGATGCAGTAAATCAGAAACAAAAATGCAAATTACTGGAAAAGCTCGGCAAGTCTGGCAGTTTACAGTTAACATTTTGGGTCGAGTGACCCTTCCAAGTACCTTGCCCCTAAACCACGAGGCTGTTCTCTTAAATAAGAGCCTCCTGTGCGGCACCTTGCCAAAAGCCAATTGAAAATCCAAACAGATCATGTCCACGGCATGTCCTTCGTCTAACTCGCTTGTTACCTCCTCAAAGAATTCTGACAGATTTGTCAGGCATGACCGCCCCTTGACAAGTTGTGCTGACTCAGTCCTATTTTACCATATACTTCCAAGTAGTCTGCAATCTCATCCTTAATAATGGACTCTGAAATCTTAACGACCAAGGTTAGGCTGACTGGCTTATAGTTTCCAGTCTTCTGACTCTCTCCCTTCTTAAACAAGGGTGTTACATTAGTCATTTTCCAATTCTCTGGAATTCTTCCAGACTCCAGTGATTTCTAAAAAATCTTCACCTCTACAATCTCCTCAGCTATTTCCTTCAGAACTCTGGGGTGTAGTCCATCTGGTCCAGATGATTTATCCACCTTCAGACCTCTCAGCTTCCCAACACCTTCTCCTTAATGACGGACACCACGCTTACCCTCTGCCCCTGACTGTCCTGAAGTTCTGATATGCTGCTGGTGTCTTCCACCATGAAAACTGATGCAAAGTACCTCTTCATTTCCTCTGCCACTTCTTGGTTCCCCAACCACACTTTCCAGTGGTCCAACCTTGCCTCTGTTACATTTTAGACACCGAGAAAAACTCTTGCAACCTTCTTGTATATTACTAGCTAGCGTACTCTCATATTTCATCTTCTCCCCCTCCGCTCTCCCATTGCATTTTTAGTTATCCTCTGCTGGTTTTTAAAGGCTTCCCAATCCCTTGACTACCCACTAATCTTCACTACATTGTATACTTTTTCTCTTGCTTTTTTGCTGTCCCTGACTTCGCTTGTCAGCCATGGTTACCTCATCCTTCCCTTAGAATGTTTCTTCTTCCTTTGGATGGATTTCTGCTGGGCCTCCCGAATCACTCTCAGAAACTTCTGCCATTGCTGCTCTACCATCTATCTTGCTGGGCTTCCCTTCAAATCAACTCTGGCTAGCTCCTCCCTCATGTCTTTGTAGTTAACTTTAATCAAGTGTAATACTGTTACAACTGATTGCAGCTTCTCCATCTCAAACTGCAGGGTGAATTCTATCATATTATGATCACTGCCCCTAGGGGTTCCTTTATCTTCAGGCCCCTAATCAAGATTGCCTCATTACACATCACTAAATCCAGAACTGCCTATTCCCTAGAGCGCTCTACAACAAGCTGCTCCAAAGTACCATCTCATGAACAGTCCACAGATTACTTTTCTTGGGTTCTGCTACCAACCTGGTTTTCCCAGTCTACCTGCATGCTGAAATGCCCCACGATTATTGAAATAGTGCCTTTCTTATACAGCGTTTCCATTTCTTGATTTATTTTCTTCTCCACGTCCTGACTAATGTTATGAGGCCTGTACACAACTCCTGTCAGCATCTTTTCTCCTTTACGGTTCATCAACTCTACCCACACAGATTATATGCCTTCTAATTCTATATCACTTCTTGTCATTGATTTAATTTTATTTCTTACTAACAAGGCAACATTGTCCCCTTTGTCCTTAAATTGTGCTGAACAAAGAGACTCTGGAGTGCAGGTTCATAGTTCCTTGAAAGTGGAGTCACAGGTAGATAGGACACTGAAGGCGGCATTTGGTATGCTTGCCGTTATTGGTCAGTGCATTAAGTATAAGAGTTGGGAGGTCATGTTGTGGCTGTTCAGAACATTGGTTAGGCCACTATTGGAGTACTGCGTGTCATTCTGGTCTCCCTGCTATAGGATGGATGTTGTGAAACTTGAAAGGGTTCAGAAAAGATTTACAAAGATGTTGCCAGGGTTGGAGGGTTTGAGCTTTAGGGAGAGGCTGAATAGACTGGGGCTATTTTCCCTGGAGTGTCGGAGGCAGAGGGGTGACCTTATAGAGGTTTATAAAATTATGAGGGGCATGGATAGGGTAAATACTCAAGGTCTTTTCTCTCGGTTGGGAGTGCGGGGAGTCCAAAAGTACAGGGCATAGGTTTAAGGTGAGAAGGGAAAGATTTAAAAAGGGACCTAAGGGGCAATGTTTTTATGCAGAGGGTGGTTACTGTATGGAATGAGCTGCCGGAAGTAGTGGTGGAAGCTTGTAGAATTACAACATTTAAAAGGCATCTGGATGGGTATACGAATAGGAAGGGTTTAGAGGAATATGAGTCAAATGCTGGCAAATGGGACTATATTTATTTAGGATATCTGGTCGGCATGGACAAGTTGGGCCGAAGGGTCTGTTTCTGTGCTATATATCTTTATGACACTATGCCTGTCCTTTTGATTGGATGTCTATCCTTGGATATTTAGTTCCCAGCCCTGATCCCCTTGCAGCCACATCTGTGTGATCCCCACACATCGCACCTGCCACCTTGAATCTGCGCTACAACCTCATTTACCATGTTTCATTTACTCTGTGCATTAAAGTACAACAGCTGTGTTGACTGTCCCCCTTCTTATAATTGTTCCCTTATCTGCTGTGTCTGAAATTAGATTTCTGAACCTTTCCATCTTCTCTGTCCTATTACTTGTTCTGGAAACTGTAATAACCTCTGCTGAGCCCTTTCCCCCTTTAACTATTTCCATAATTTTGCATGCAACTGACTCTTTAATCTTGCTGACCTATGCCATTTTGCTCTTGGCTCAGTTAGTACTCCAGAGGTTACTATCTTTTTAGTTTTGCTTTCTAATTTAGCCCCCAACTGCTCATATGCCCTCAGCAGAACCTCTTTCCTCTTTCTACTTTTATCATCGATACCTACATGGATCAAGACAATTGTATCTTCCCCCAGCCATTCAAAAGTTCCTCTGCAGCCCGCATGAGATTTCCTGAACCCAGGCAAGCAACACAGCCTTCGGGACGATCGATTCTGGCCACAGAGAACAGTGTCTATTCCCTTGACTATACTATCCCTGATTACATTTACATTTCTCTTTTCTCCCTCCTCTTGAACAGCTCCCTGTACCACAGTGCTATGGTCAGTTTGTCCCTACAGCCCCACTCCCAATCACACAGGGAGCAACAATCTCAAATCTTTTGGAGAAGCTCAGAGGCTGAGGCTCTTTCAGCACTACCTCCTGGATTCCTCCACCTGCCTCACGCACAGTCACACCCTCTTGTCCCTGACCAAATTACACAGCACCCAGGTAACTCTCCCACTCCCTGACATGTTACAGTGTTGGAAGCTCAAACTGCAGCTCACCATGTCTGAGCCAGAGTTGCTCAATGAAGTAACACTTGCAACCGATATGGTCAGTAGGAACCACAATGGGTCCACCAGGTTCCACAGTGTGCAGGTACAACAGATCGCTGGACGTGGCATCTCTATTGTATCATTCTTAATTTGGTTTTTAAAAATTTTGTAATGGCTTCTTAGTTTGTAGCTTGTAAATATTTCCCCAATTTACCTTCAACTGAAAGAAACCTGTTATAGACAGTCAAATTTGTAGCTGTTGCCAACCAATGAACTTACGGTTTACCTGTGATGTTATACTTTTGTGCTGGGCCCCTAATCCTGGCCTTCAACTTATCTTGTTAAAAAATGATTTTTCTTCATGACCGTGTGACACTTACAGCACAACACTGATAGACAGTTTTTGTTGTATTACTCAAATGATTTTCTTTTCTTTACATTTGAGAAAAAAAGTTCCTTTGCATGAATAACAACTTTTGAAAATTGGTTTGGACATTTTCCTTTGTTGAAAAAGCTACCCAATGAATTTTCTAAAAGATTAAATAGACTTCCATAACCTACTGCCCTACAAAGTAGAGTTGATGTGCAAACAAGATATATGTTGCAAAACAAAACAGGGGTGAAGGGTTGCTTTCAATTTAACACAATGTTTTCCTTACAAAATCAGAGGTTTAAAAAGTAAATGCTACATGTGGCATTATCTGTACTTCATACTTCACAGGATCTTCAGCTAAATATAGTTTGCCGTAATCAAGTTAATTACCAATAAGTCTCATGACGCCTGCAACCGTGGCATCCGGAATATTTGGAATATTTGCCTGGCCTCTTCTGCGCTTCATCCATTTATCCATTACAGGCCATACCTCTGTCCTAAAAGAAAAAAAAGCAGAGAAGTCAACAATAATCAAAGAAGCGGAATATACGAGGTTGCAGGCTTGCTCGCTGAGCCGGTGTGTTTGAATGCAGATGTTTCGTCACCCTGCTAGGTAACATCATCAGTGCACCTCCTGTGAAGCATTGGTGTTCTGTCCCACTTGCTATTTATGCGCCTCGGTTTGCTGGTGTGGTTGGCATCAATTCTGGTTCTGTTTTTCAGTAGCTTATATATCAGGTCCAGTTCAAGGTGTTTGTTGATGGAGTGCCGGTTGGAATGCCAGGCCTCCAGGAATTCACTGGCATGTCTCTGTTTGGCTTGTGCTATTATGGATGTGTTGTCCCAATTTCTGTCCTTCCTTGTCCGTGTATTGAAACCAGTGAGAATTGGTCGTGTCTCTTGGTGGCTAGTTGGTGTTTGTGTATCCTAATTGTCAGTTTTCTTCCAGTTTGGCCTATGTAATGTTTCTCTCAGTCCTTGCACGGTACTTTGTATATATGAGAAACATTACATATTTGAATCATTTAAATAGATACACGGTTATTTTAGAATCAACAGATTAGTCTAAGCATATCTCTGAATTACCTTATGAAGGAGTTGTGCGTCCATGACCATGGTTGTTGAGAACACAGCAAATCTATGGCATAAATCAGTTCCCACATATCACCATTAAAATCCATTCCATATTCATTACTTTTTCGGAATCCAACTTTAGGACTCTGCTGCATGGCAATAAGGAAACTTGAAACCAAAGAACTAATGTCTAGAGGTGGATTCTGAAAATCAAATAATTACACATGAAAAATGAATATCTCCTTATGTAGAAGATACAACTTCATCAACGATCTCTACAAAAAAAATGGGCAAGCAGTGAACAAATCATTATGACTTCAGCTCTCAACTGAATTCTAACAAACAAATTAGGTAAAATTTTCATTTTCTGTTGCGAGAACATTTAAAGATCATTTGTGGATTCCCTCTGTTTTAATTATAAAAATGACATTGTAACCTGGTGAAGGGAAAAGAGGAGGAGCTCATATAGTATGTACTAGGAACTTTCTTTATCAAAGCATTTCTATCTCAGCAAGCAAGGAAGCAGTGCTGGTTATAATTCTGGGGAAAGAGTAATTGATATCTGCATTCACTAGACAAGACTGTTGCCAATGTGGGAATAAAGGAGGAGGCAGTAGTGATATTGGATAGGATAAAAATAAGGCACTTAAAAGATTGGTCACCTTCAAAAGGGAAAAAGTCATCTGCACTAGATGGGATGCATCCGATTTGTGGAGGTCTAGTCAAAATCTCTTCAGATCTAGGACTGGTACTAGAGAACTAGTGGATTCCAAATGTTACATCCCTCTTCAAAAATAGGAGGCACGTATACCTATCAACTATGAACCAATTAGCTTAACATCAATGAGGAGGAAATTTTGAGAGGCAATAATTGGCGACATAGCAAACAGTCATTTAGAAAAGTAGGATCACAGCTCTTTTTGATATAATGACCTACACTTGGATATACACAGCATATTTTCAATGTTTACAGATGACATGAAGTTCAGAAATACAGTAAAGATGCAGTAAACAGTCTTCAGAAGGACACAGGCTAACTGGAAAAATGGAAAAAAAAAGGGAGATGAGATGTGCCTCGATTTCTTACAGAAACAAATTTTTTTTGTGATGTGTAAGGGAAAACAGCAAGTATCATATCATGGAATCTTCTCACCAAATCCAGAAATTTATAAGCAGTTACAGTCTGATTGATCTCAACACATGACAAAAATGTTTGTCTATAAAACAAGTCACCCTTACACCGCCCCCTCCCCCAACCCCATTCAGACTGTGACTGCTACAAAATATGAAGAAGTAACTGTACCTTTTCCCAATTGAGGTATGCACTCAAACAATTCAGAACATCTCCTTTGGCACGTTGCTTGGCAACAGCTTGCATAGCTTTATTGACTGGTCCTTGTGTAGAAAATATGTTCTGCCAAACACTCAAGATGAGCAGCAACAATTTGCTTGAATCTGGAAAATCTGGAAAAAAGTACCTTTATCAAATAGAAAGACTAGAATATGCTGCAATATAAATCTTTGACCTATACACACGAGATGCAGAGTTGCAATGAAAAAGAATACTTTCAGATGGGAAGAAACAAAATTGCATACTGCAAAATTCAGTGTAATGAGACATTTGAAGATGCACAATTTTTAACACTAGTTTCATACTTTACAAAATTGAATAATTCCAGTTGTTTTAAAAAATGAATGCTTCTTCTTTGTGAAATTATTTTTGATACCGTTTGAAATGTATTGTAGTCTCAATATATGAACGACTGAGGTGCCTGGTTAAAATAAAACTTCAAAATTTCTGTCTTTGATCATGCAAAAAATTCTGCTTCTGGTTCAGAGTTACTCACTTGCATTTGAAGGTTGCTTGTGTTTGTTACAAGGAAAGCTAGTTAGCATTCATAAATTTCACCCATCAATGTTGTTGCAATGTTGTCTTTTGACTTCAATGCTGGTCTGCTCATCTCTTGCTCTCCAAAATTTGGTGCCTTGTCAGCACACAATGTAGCATGTTCTCTTGTCGGATGTCATGACCATGAACCCCAAAGTACCAAGGGAACTTTTCATTTGTACTTCCAAAATGTATTTTTTCTAAGAAGTGGGTTGAAATCAGCCAAAAATGGCATATGTATATTCAACGGCTATTTAGATGGGGATCCATGGAATTTCAGACCTACAGATTCAAAGGGAACTTCAAAGCCCTTCTCAACAGCAAGCAACCCCCTGCAGATTTTGTTCCAACCTGCAGGCACATTTTGCATTTTGAAGAATACACAAGGTCAGGGTTAAAAAGTCAGTTTCAACTTTACTGGGGTGATGCTACTGGGACTGAACATTCACATGCGTACCAGCCTGCATTTGAGCGTTAGTGTGCTGTGAAAGTCACAGTTGAAGAACTTAGTCACCCAATAAGATCCTCTCTTGCTGAATGATAGAAGTCAGCCAGCTAGTAACCAGACAAGAGGAAGACCTTCTCTAACTCACAGTGATACAAACCAGTTTGAAAAAAAACTAATCGGGACAACAGAACTTTAATCAGACCACAAAACTATGAATTGTGAAACCAACTGTTTGGCTACCAACGTCGGTGTGACCTGTAGGACTTGCAACATTTACTGCCTCAAAGAGCAAAGTGCTTGGAAACAGTACCACCTGACATCCCCTCCAATTCACTCAGCAAAACGACATGGGACTATATTGCCATTCCCTACACTGTTGTTGGGTTAAAATCCTTGAATGGGCAATAAATGCAAGCCTTGTCAGCAATGTCTGCATCTCAAGGAGGAAAATAAAAATGCATTTAATAAGTTAAAATTTTACTCAGTGAATGCTATCTGATTAGTATCATGTACTACAATTTCACTAGGGGATCCAGGACAACATGTTCCATTGGTTTATTTTGTATCAATATCATTATGCAATTTAGACTCAAACTTACCTTCCTTTAAGATATTATAGGAGAGGAGACGAGCTCTTTCAAGATCTCCTTGCTGTCGGCAGATTGCAATATAAACTCGAGAAAGTGCCTGAAGACAGTTATTATCAAGGGTCATTTGCTCAACCTTCAGTTTCTTGAGGATAGCCATCATTAAAGCTTCTGTTAAATCCTATCGTCAACAAAACAAGTGAAGCGATTACTGCATCAATAACTAGCAATAAACAACATTTCAGAGAACCTGCAACAGTTATTTGTCCTAATTGGTTAATGCCATTATATATACTCTACAAAAGCCCTCTTTTACTCAGACTACCTCTGAGTTAACATGGCCTTTTATTTCCATTGGCATGCACAGGCAGATTACATGCATGACCCTATTAAATGGTTTTATGCAGTCACAATGTTCATAAACTTAGGGGTTGCTGCACAGCCTAGCAGCTAAGAGGTAACATCGTTCTTGATCAGAATCAAAATCATGTAATCTGGTCCAACAATACAAGAATATGCAGGTATGACCCTATCACAGTATCTTTACAGCCTAAAGTGAACACCTAGCCTCAGTTGTCCCCAAACAGGGCAACTGGAATCCCTACCACTACTAAAGAATAAATCTCAAACTGCCTCTTTCCAGACTACAAATATTTGCACCAACTGCTAACTTCCCACAATAGGCAAGAAAATGTTTATATAACCATTAGAAAACATCCCTTTTGAGCACATCTGTCGACCTTGTGCATATATAAAAAATCCTCAGGCTTGGTAGCAGCTCTGGCACCTAAAAAAAAATTGGGATAAAAACTCTTCAACAAAAACAAAATTGGACTTGGACTTTTTTTGTCCCCCCACTCTCACAAATGGAAATATTTTCACTTCCAACTACCCAATTGAAAAATCAGCCTTTTGCTCAGGAAGGTGAACACCCCCTAACCTTTTGTTTACCCTCCCCATTTCCTTTCCTTGCCTCCTACTCTTCTCCTTAGCTCAGCTCATTCTGCTCGCCCACCTAATTATCACTTCTTCCACTATCCTCTCCCTGGTCACCTTCCACACCCCTTCTCTTGTCCAGTGTTGTTGTTCTCCCATATGCATTGCCATCTACCTACCTTCCCCCATCTACTTACTCCCCCATCCTGAAAAGGTGCTCTTCTCCAATAATGCACTTGGTCTTGGCCTCCTGTGTGCAATATCACAGGAGTTCTAACAGTGGCTCAATAACTTCCTTCATTTAAATAAAGAATTATTGAACTATGTTTGCTGAATAATTATGCTAACCTGACAACACTATTTTAATCTATGTCAAAGTCACCCAGTATCTTCCACTATGAGGCTCAGGATTCAGCAGAATGTTGCAAAGGTGTTGCCTTTGGTACCTCGCCCAAGGAGAACACACTCATTTTAGGAAGAGTTCTCACCTACAACACAGGATCCATACAGATTTAGAACAGGTACTGCTGGGAAGCAATCAGGATTGCAAATTTAGAGCACTGAGGGTATCTGCAGGATCCCTGTCATCCAGCCCAATTGAGGTCAACTGCTCTCAGTACAGATTAAGGACTAAACATTAATTTTTTTTCTGATAGTTTTGATATAGTCTCTATTCACAATTTTTTTTTGGTAGAAATATATTTACAGGGGTTATCCTTACCAAAGATTATTAACATTTCCTTGAAAGAAGACTACAGTCGCAAAATAATCCACTTTTTTTCCATTACGCACCTTAATCGATGTGATTGATTCTCTTTATTTTCTCACGGTAGAGCAGGAAAAACTGAGGAGCAATAATTCCGTGTGAAATTACAACTCTGTCTGGCCCTTTGAAATTCAAACAGGCACACACACAGAGCAAAAAGGTGTATTTAGCAATCATTAAAACTGCAAGCCATACATTTTAAACATGGAAACTATTTGTTTCCTTAGATTCAGATTCTGACATAAATTGATTTATCTCCTTCCATATAACTGGTTGCTTCTCCATACTATTACTCAGTTGCTGGATAATTACAATGGTAGATGGAATCCCACTTCTAAGGCATTAGCTTGCCTCCATTGAAGGTACAGGAAATTTGAGCTTCACAATGGAGTTAAAATATTAGTATTTTAAACTGTAATGATTGATAACTTTTTCTAAAATTGATAGTCAAATTAACAACATCTCGGCAAAAAAAGAACCGTATGATGCAGTATGATAATCGAGTGCTGGGAGCAGCAGTGTTGATTTCCATGGGATGAACTGAAAATCTGGGTTGCGAAAGTTCTAAAGATTGTACTTGCTGCCTTCATGTACATTCCACTTCAAATGCTCTTTTACTGACACAGTTGATTTTTATGGAAGTTAGCAAGAGCAAAAAGATGCCATTCTTACCAGCCCTCAGAATTCCAATTTTCAAGCCATTACTAGTATACAAATCCCAATCCTCCATCCTCTTCCAAATCATGTAGACACTCCTGGAGGTGAAGTGGGCACTGACGGCTTCCGACAGGATAGTCCGAAACACACACTTTTTACCAGTCTATTTTCAAACCTTTGAATCATGTGCATCTTTTGTAGCCTGCCCCCACGCCATTCAGATATTGCTAGAAGACTCACCTCAGCAGCAATGTAGCTAACCTTCTGTAAGTACACACTCCCTTCCTTCACAATATCATGTTTCTTACCATTATAATAAGGTTCCATGGTGTCCATTTTGTTGACTTCAGTGATTAGCTAGTTTTAGCAGCATGAGCTTGGAGATTATGAGCTGGAGGCTGAACTATAGACACTGATGCCTAAGGGAGGGTGAAGGTTACCTGGATTCTTTGTACCAGGAGGCAGTCACACCTTACAGCACGCTGTGGCCTTTTACAGTCAGTGGTTAGGGACAAGAGGCTATGACTGCAGGTGAAACAGGCAATAGGGAGCCAGAGGGCAGGAGTACAGCAGATTAGAGAGATGAACATGTGGCTGAAAGACTGCTGTAAGACTGCTGTAAGACCATAAGGCATAGGAGCAGAAATTAGGCCATTCAGCCCATTGAGAGAAGTGCTGTGAGAGAAATGGGTTCCTGTTCCTGTTCCTGTTCCTGGCACTAATACTGGGTAAAGTGGGATCTGTACCTGTGGGCAGTCCACACCTGAACAGTACCAGGACTGGCATTCTTGTGAACCATGTAACTAGGGATTAGGGAGGGCTTTAAACTAAATAATGGGGTTAAAGGTCCAAATTGAAGAATGGGAAAATGCAACAGAGGAAGGAATTAATGTGGGAAGTGATCAACAGACAATGACAGGAAGGTACCGAGAATGCAGATCTAAAAGCTCATCGACAGATATGACAAGTGATTACAAAAATAATAAAAGAACAAAACTTAAGGCATTATACTTGAATCTATGCAGCATTTGAAACAAAACAGATAAACTAACAGTAAGAAATTGAGATAACGAAGTTTGATCAAGTGGCCGTAAATAAACCTAGATTGAGACCTGAATATAGAATGGTATGTGACATTTAGGAAAGGATGGAGGAGTAGCTCTGTACATTAAAGATCATATTAATACATTGAAATAGAAAGGAATGAACGTAATTCAGGAAAGCAGGATACAGAAGCAGTCTAGGTAGAGATGAGGAATGATAAAAGCAAGTAGATAGTTGTGGGAATTGTGTCTAGGCTTTTTAACAGTAATCATGTGGTAGGTTTTCAAGGAGAAATCAAAGCAACTTGTCAAAAGGGTACAGCAACCATCTATTTTGAATTTAAATAAAGGCAATTATGAGGGCATGAAAGCAGAGCTAACAAAAATAATTGGGAATTTTGATTGAGGGAAAGATCAATAGAGATAAAATGGGAAACTTTCAAAAGGATATCTCAAAGTGCAGAACAGATTCATTCTGACAAACAGTGAAAATTCTAAGGGACAGGCACACCATCCATGGTTAACCAAGAGAGGTTAATTCACATTCAAAGAAAAGACAATAATTATGCAAAGATATGTCGAAGATCAAAAGCTTGGACAGAATATAAAAAGAAATTGGTAGAAGATTAATGAGAGAAGAAAATCTAGAGTTTGAAAGTTAGGCAAAAAAAAATTTCTTCACATACTTAAAATAACAAAAATAGCTGCTAAAGTATTGGTCCTCTAGAGTATGAGAATTAGTAATAGAAGATAAAGAGATGGTAGACA